CTCGCGAACGGATGTGTGGCCGAAGTAGATTTCTCGGCACACGCATCGGTTTAACGGGGGAAGGCGTGCAATCTCTGGCTGTATGAAGCGGCGATGAGACGTGTTTAGCCAGGCGTGCAGCGAACGACACTTTTTCAGCCGGCATGCCGTTTCAAAGCCCGTGGTGAGAGGTCACGTTCCTTCTGCGTCAGCGTCAATGCGGAGCGGACGCTCTCCAGCGGCATGAATGCAGGCAGCTGGAAAAGTACGTCTAGACCATCCGATGGACCAATACAGGCCTGTGTTGGGTGACACAATACATTTGAACCATGCGATCCGAATGTATGCGGACGATTTGAAGGTCCGCGCATGACAATTTGTTCTGACAAATTTTTACACTATACGGCAATTTTCAATTTAGAACATGGGAAATCCTACACACAAAGCATGTTAATTTTATGTATTTTCACATGACAAATATTACCGTCAGATTTTTAGCGTAAAAAATCTGACGCCACACTTTTAACATATCCGTAGACATAAACTTTGGTGCCTATTGTAAACTTGGATACTTGGTGTGGATTTGTGAGACAAAATGTACGCATGATTGATTTGGAACTTGAGTGGTACTACGTACGTACGTAGGTGATATACTCCCATCAAATCCATGGGGATGGGGGGTGAGGCATCATCCACCACTTTGAACGACGGTGTGGGGCTACGTAGAAACCATGCCGAAAAGGGCGCCCGGCCACGCCAAACGCCACCATGTTATATGGACCGCTTTCGCTGACACCGTAGATTGCAAGCCACACTCGCAGCCAACCCGGTGGTCCACATCACGTGCACCGCGGCCCGATCGCGCCCCATCTGGGCCGTCCATCCGGCAGTGGACGGACAGACGGGTCCGAGTTTCTCTCCTTTTTTTTCGTGGAGTGAATCCGGGTTTTACACACTGATCGTGATAAAATAAGCGATGAGATGAGATCCACCCGTAAAAAAAAAGAGATGAGATGAGATGAGGAATCTATGTATACGATTCTAAATCTTGGTGCCGATCGACAGTTTGCGTGCCGTGCCGACCGTTAGGCAGCGAGCAGAGAGAGTGGACTGAACATGTTTTCCTGCATGGAATGGCCGCAGGCATGAATGGAGCTTTGCGCTGGAATTGCATATATAGATATACTGATTCCATGAATGAATCCGAGGCTCTGCAAAACCCACATGCACAGTGTGCCGGCTCATGTGATGCTTCGAGGTCAACCAAATAAAACTAATAAGAGGAAAAAAGGCATCGAGTTCAGAGTTATTTATTAGTGTAAAGTTGGCTTAAACAATGGCTAGATCTAGGCTCGCATGTGCCTCTCTTTTGAGGCTCCTCACAGTGAATCAAGTACACTCACAAACTCCAGGTGCTGCGATGTTCTTCCTCCTGCACTGCAGACATGATGACGCATTGATTGTTCTAATTACTCCTACCTCACTCTCGGTTGCGATTTTTCGCCCCCTTGATGTCATGTTTTTCTTCATCAGAAAGTAAGCGCGCAGTCACATGTGGATTCGTACTGGGAGAGGCAGGCGGAGCAGAAAGGTTAGGGGTCTCTGCCGCAAGGACTGTTACTGCTGCTCTTGCCCTTGCCATGATGAGACATGAGTTGAGTCGCTTGCTGGTGTCGAGTGTGAAGCAGAGGCTTCACATGGACCCTCTTGGCTCCTGCAATGAAGTAATCCCGTCACACTGACATATCTACGCCACAGTACACTACACTACAGTGCAGTGCAGTGCGAGTGCACACCATCGCCTCCCTCTCCCTGCTCATTTGGTCAAACGAACCAACCCCCATAGGCCATAAGAGCAACTCCAATGGGGCGACCCAAACGGACGACGCATTTGTCCGTTTTTTGTCCGTTTGGGTCGGCCGTCCATCCGGCGTCCGCCCAGTTTTGCATTTGGGTCATCAGTGCGCCCAACGCGTCGACCCATTTCATGTCCGCATTCAGCTTTTAAATAAAAAAGACCCGCGGCCGACTATGCCAGCGGTCATGTCTCATGCCGGCACCATGCTAGCGCCGGGATACAATGCCGGCTTCAGAAAATACCACGCACATAAAAGAGGGTGGGACTTGAGTTTGACCACGTCATCGCGGCGACCGTGGTCATGCCGGCACACCAGTCGGCATTCAAAAAAGATGGCCCTCGACGCCACAGATCACTCGTCGTCGAACTTGAGCATGTCGGCCTGCATCTTCTCGAACCACGGCCTCTTCCTTGGCGACAGGGTGTTGAGATCCACCTTCATGATCTCCACCCCGGTCATCATGCTTGCAAGAGCCACTTTTTTCGCCTTTGTCTTGGCGTTGGCGGCCTCGATCTCTAGCATCTTGGCTTGCTTCTCCGCCTCGAGCTCGAACATCTTGACTTGCTTCTTGGCGTCAAGATCAAGCCTCCTCCTTTGGATCTCCATGAAAGCATTCATTTGCTCCGCCTTGAAACGCCGACGCTCCTCCTTCCTTGAGTCCTTCTTGTTAATCATACCGTTCACGCTTGCGATCAAGGCGTTGGTGGCCGCATCTCGCTTGTCCTCCTTTTTGGAGTTGGTCTTTCCCCTCGGCCGTGCCGGCTCGTCCTCCCCAACATCCTCCACGACATTCTTCCCCCCACGTGCCTTGAGGGCGGCATATTGCGTCTTGAACTTCTCTTCATCCTTGATGACCCGATAGCAATGAGAGAGGTTGAAGCACTTGCCATTGTGTCGAACCTTGAATGCCTCCAAAGCTTGAAATGCCTACAAAATGTTTCCATGCAAGCATATGGGCAAGTGATAGCAAATGAAGACTTAAAAGGATGATCTTGATGGCACAAAAGAGGGCGGCTTGCTTGCTATCATACCATGTCTTGCACGCCGATGCCGCTCTCAAGGGTGGCGCAAAACTTGTTGCACTCTTATTGGATCACCCTCCACCGCTTGGAAATGGAGACCCACCCGCGCGTGCTGACATGGTAAGGTGAAAACTTCTTGCGCTCATGAAACTCGCGGTGCACACGAGTCCAAAAGGTCGAATGCTTTTGCTCGACACTTGTCTTTGGGCCTTGTCCAATGTCTCGCCAACACTCGCAAAGAAGCTTGTCCTCGGCAGCTGTGTACGCCTTCGTGCGCTTGCTCTTGCGCTTCGGCTTAGGACCGACGGCTTGGTTGGCGAGACAGTCCTTGAACAAAGGCTCCACTTTGATGTCGCACTCGTCCTCTTCCTCTAGCCCATAGTCGTTCGGGAACTCGTGGTCGAGGGGGAAGCCGTCCAGGTCGATGCCAACTTGATCACGCATGAAGGCCAC